ACAAAACCTACAATTTTCGTGTCCAATGTGAGATTTATTTGTTCTGTTAGTTCTGTTAATAAACTGAATGGACAGAATAGCTGATAATTCACATACCGAGTGTTAGTTTGCGATTGGGTTTGGTGTAGACTACTGCTAACTATAGTTCTTTCAGTATTCAGATATAGTTACATATTTAGGAAAAAGAGTTTAACATATTCTGGTCATGTAAATGTGTAAAGTGTTTTAACATTACGCCAAAAGTTATAAGCCATAATGAAGCTATAAGTGATTTGACATTTCAGCACAACAGACAGCGACTGCGCATACTCGCAAGTTAATGTTCAATCTAGGTGACAAATAATATCTATGTTTAGCCCTTGGCCAATAAATTGTAAAATTTAACTCGCCAGTGTTTTTGTTAAACGTGTAAAAGAAATTTCAGCGCACATACATTTTCACTTGCCTACATTTGAACTCTCCGACTGAACGATTAAGTTTCTCTCTGTCTATATAGAGCAGTGAGCGCATTATTGGCTGAGGAAAGCGCTCTGCGTTTCTCTCTCACACACGCAGAGAATGAGTCTTACATGCCGATTAAAATTGGCACACTATATGTGTGTACGGCATTTGTTTCCTGTTTTTTTGGGAAATGCGTGTGAAAGAAACAAATATTTGTAACCTCACACATAAAAAAAACATTCATTATTACAAAAGTAATTGGTTTGTGGTGCTGACAATGGTGAATCCAGGCCTGTGTATCAGGTCACATTATGCACATAATGTAACAACAAAATCTGCCTAGTCTAAATTAGTATTTTGATTGGTCTCAGGAGGTTTAAGTGTAACATCTTTTCTAGTGTTGGAATAAATCAATTATTCTGTTATTGTATCTTTTTCTTTGCTCAACAGGCTGTTTTCACATTGAGGTAAGATTACATTAAGTCTTAAGTCTTTTCTATTAAACAATGACATGGGTCTATTAAAATTCCATTAATGTCTTATCTTTAAGAATGGAAAACAAAAGACAAGTTGGCAGGAGAGAATATATGAGACGCTGGAGAGCAGCCAACAAGATTCTTTCTAATTGTCGCCAAAAACAAATATAGTGATATTTGCGCTAGTCCTGTACTTCAAGAACCCTTACAACATTGTTCATCCTCTGCAAGATCAGTTTCAGAGTGTAGCACAGCTTGTTCTTTAAGAGAGAGTGGAAATATATCCTTAAACCAAGAGGACACATTTAGCACAGATGAAAGCTCTGAGTTCTCTTCAGATTGTGACACATATTTGTTACTCTCTGAGGAGGATCGTGAAACAAATTCTTTGAGAGAAGACCTCATTGCCTGGGCCAACAAACACCAAATTCGACAATGTGCTTTAGATGACCTCCTAAAAGTCCTGCGTTCACAAGGACATGACACATTGCCTGCTACAGCACGCACACTTTTGAAGACCGTGCGAGCAGTTGATATTCAGAATAAATCTAGCATGCAGTATATTCATCTCTTATTGTCTGAAGAAATTGAGAAAGTGTTGAAAAGATATCCTTGTGAGGTGACTTCCAGAATACATTCTCTGGAGATTTCTTTAAATGTTGATGGACTTCCACTCTTCAAAAGTTCATCATTGTCAATGTGGCCTGTGTTGTGTTCCATTCATCTTGAACCAGTGATTGTATTTCCTGTAACACTGACACTGGGATCTCAAAGACCCTCAGATCTTACATTTCTTGAGGATGCTGTTACAGAAATAAAACAATTACTAGAAAGTGGTCTTAAATTTGATGGGAGGATCATTGGAGTCAAGCTAAGGTGTATTGTATGTGGTGCACCAGCCAAAGCAATGGTGAAAAACACCAAGCCAGACGCCTCCATCACTGAGAAAAGGCCAACCAGGCTGAAGAGACCACCTTTACACCTTTTAGAGTCAGATAGTGATATCACAGATATTGAAGACAGTATGTATATGAATTCACATTTCTTGTTTGGTTTATAAAGTAATTAAATGATAAAAACTTAAATTTAATACAATTGTTTTAGGTAATATCAACACCAGGCCACCAGCAAAAATACCAACCCTTCCCTCTCCACCGAGAACAATGGAACCAAGAAGGAACTCATCCAAAAGTACAAGAAAATTGTATTTTTAAATTTGTAAACCATTGGGCCACACCAAAAATAGATATATTTTTTTACAGTAAATTTATTTACAGTTATTAAATTACAGTTATTTGTTTATAACAAAGGTATTATTACAATGATATGAATCTTTCTTTTTTAAGCACCTGAGCCATCACAGACATGTGGGGGTCTTGACAGCTTGCCAAGAGCTGGATTTTGTGGTAAGTATAAATAATAATTAAGATTAGCAGTTTTACACAATACACCATATATCAAAAATGATTGCAGCCCTGTAATTTATTAATATCTCAATGATCCAAACATGCCAGGCTACAGAGCAGCTATCCATACCAACAGCACCCATTCAATGAGGCCACAACATTTAGGTATTGTTTGTTTATTAGTTTGAATGGCATACAATTTCCACTACAAAGGCATAATCTGAATGCCATCTACTAGCCATGTAAAAGTTTTATCTGATAGCCAGTACAGAATATTCATTAAACATGTAGTTGTACTAACATAAATTAAATATAAATATATTTTTAGATTTCTGCAATACCCCAAACTGGGATGGCCAGAGTGAAGGACATAGGGTTATGGTACATCAAATCGAAGGCAAGATACAGACAACTTTTTCTGGAAAATGATGAGCATTTTACCATTTTGCCATCATGTGTAGAGGATCTTTTTGAAAAATATCAGTATATCAGTTCTGACAATTGTCCTGAATAAGAAGTTATTATTTGTAAGTTACTGTTTTGATGCTTGCTTGAACAAATTAAAAAGTCTGTTTTGTCAAATCAAAGGCAAGATACAGACAACTTTTTCTGGAAAATGATGAGCATTTTACCATTTTGCCATCATGTGTAGAGGATCTTTTTGAAAAATATCAGTATATCAGTTCTGACAATTGTCCTGAATAAGAAGTTATTATTTGTAAATTACTGTTTTGATGCTTGCTTGAACAAATTAAAAAGTCTGTTTTGAATCAGTCAAACCTTCTGATGGACATAACTGATGATAATGATAAACATCACAAAATGTATCAGTATTTTAGTGCTGATGTAATTTATTAATATGTCATTGATCCAGAGATGCCAGGGGGCTACAGATCAGCTGTACATACCACTCAGTCAATGATGCCACAACATTTAGGTAATGTTTTCCCACGTCTTTCTTTCTTTCTTTCTTGCTGTTATTTATTTATATATATTTTATTGAAAATTGTAAAATGGTAAAAAGAAGAAAAGAAAATGTGTTGCTTGTGTGAACCGCAGATATGGTACAATTACTGGAAATGGCAATCTGGCAATTTTACAGCAGTTACCGTGTTTAATGTGTGAAAGCAGCATTTGTCTTATCAAACTTAAAATAAATGTACTTGCATATGCAAATATAAGTTAAATGTTTATAAGAGATAATCACAATAATGTCTCTTTTGTAGCACCAAGAATGCAAGAATGGAGTCATGAACATAATTCAAGTGTGGATCAACACCAACATGGTATGTTACTTTTTATCTTTGATGCAAAATTTGATCATGATAGAGCACTAGTGGCTTAAAGTCCATTTTGAAAACCTCAAAATTTATAAAGTGCTATTGTGAGGCCTGATGAATAAATTATTATTTTTTTGCATACAAATTTAAACTTTTTGCCTAGAATCAGCCTGTACAGCCAGTGACAATGGAAGCTGGACAGATACCCAAAGACAAAATTGTAAGTAATGTTAAATTGGGTACTCCATCCAAAAAAAAAATATTTTCACATTATTTACTCAACCTCCTGCCATCCCAGATGTACAAATCCAATCTGAAATGGGGACATTTTGTAAAATGCAATAAAATCAAAATCAAGTCTGTGAACATTTAAAATCTGTTTAGTTAAGAGGTCTTGCTGCAGAATTCCTACAAGTACAAAGAAAAGATTTACAATGTGTTTACTGACCAGATTAATTGTATTTTGTAAATGTAAACAAATTTAGAAATTTGTGATAAGCCATGATCCAGCTTTGCTTGCAAAGACTAAGATGCTCCTTTTATACCCAAACATGATACCCTCACCTATTACCAAATGACCTGCCTGTGAACTGTTTCAAAACAGTTTAATTAGGATATTCTATATTCTGTCATGTTTACTTTGCCTGTCTCAACTTTTTGGAAGTGTATTGCAGCCATCAAAATCAAAATTTCTTTGTTTTTACCAAATGCATTTAAGTTAGTCAGTGAAAGCAGTGTAAGTCTTTTCTTTACCTGCCTGCTGCACATCATTCTCTGTCCCCGGATTGTCTGCCTGGTTTTGACTTGTGCCTGCCGACTGGTTTCTGCGCTTGCCTTTTCCTCTGGATTTGTTTATCTTTATTGGACTGTTGATGTCTGCCGAGTCCGACCTTCCCGTCTGCGCTCCCCTGTCCGCCGTGTTCTCCAGGTCCGCCTCATCAGCCGGTGACCTGCTGACTGTCTCAGCTGCTTTTCTTTTGTTCAACAAACGTTTTCAAATACCTTTTTTTATAATTCATATAACGTACTTTTTTTTTTAAATGTATGTTTTGGTAGTGTATGCAATAGACATGTATGCAATGTTTTAATAAAGTTGGATTATATGAACTTGTATGGCATTTTTCCTCTTTAAAGTTTCATAGCAGGTTTTACGTTAAAAAGAACAATTAATGATTAACAGTATTTGAAAAAGTATTACATAGTTATCTTGTGTTTGATTATTAAGAGATTCGCCACAAAAAATAAAATAAGATGCAGAAAAGGTAATCTTTATAATCTGGCATAAAAATAAATGTGGTCGGAACGTCGTCTCGCAGTTGCTGAATGTCGCGTAACAATGTTGCTACAGCCCTTTCGCGTCTTACAATTCAACGTTGCTACAATGTCGGGAGCACGTAGACAGCAACGTTGCCACCGTAAAAATGGAACGTGGCAGCGACGTTGACACAACGTAAATGTGTTTGTTGGGTCGCAGCTTTTTCAACACGTCTCACTTAATTCATCAGGGCTGGGACTCTGCAGTTGGATACTATTATGCACGTCTCGTATTTACAAGAGCAAACAATTCTGATTGGCTATTAATGTTAGTTTGGTTGAGAGTGAAAGCTGTGCTCCTCTCATACCATTGGTGGGCGAACTCATGAACTCGAAAGTGATATCAAGGTTTTTTTTAAATGTAGGATTATTATATATTTGTTTCACGCAGCCAAACACTGCACGCCGGAGATCCGGCACGGTGCAAAATCAGTCACTATGTTATTGTGTCTGAATGAGTATCTGTGATGAGAGCAGATAAAACTCCAGGACTGATCATTATATCCAAACGCACACTCATCACCGTCTCTCTTCCTGCTGATGCTCTTATATGACACTGATATAAACACACCAAACATCCCACTCCACTCAATCTCCCAGTAAGAGAGTCCACACACACTCTCTCTACACAACACCTGACACACATGATCAAATCTCTCTGGATGATCAGGATACGAATGATACGACTATTTCACATGTATCACCTTTCTGTTCTCCTCAAACAGCCAGAGTTGAGTGTTTATTGTGTTTGGATCCAATGTGAAAGAACAGGCATCTGAAGACAAGAAGAGAAACATTTATAACACAACAACAATCACTAAAGGAGTGTGTGTGTGTGTGTGTGTGTGTGTGTGTGTACATTGTCAGTGTGTCAGTGTCACCAATTTATTTTTTGTGGTGGTTCTGCACTTTGGATTCTTTTATTTGACAATTTATAAGAGCAGTTTTTTTTAGTCTCACAAATGTTTTCCCCTGTGTGTGTGTGTGTGTGTGTGTGTGTGCGCGCACGTGTGAGCATGATCATTTTGCATTGTGGATATTTTTTGCATTGTTGGAAGTGTGCCACTTCATTTCTGTCTATGTGTGTTCTGCGTTGTTTCTGATTTTGAGGATGAATTTTGTCCATTTTCTAAGCGGGGTCAAGACCATGAGTGTGACGTTTTTTTCACACCAACATAAAATCAAGATATCATTCCTATTTTTTTTTTTTTCATTTATAGGTCTAGAAAGTGTTGACCACCGTACAAAGTCTTATGCCATTTGGACAAAGATAACTTTTTTTATTTATTTTAGCAAACGTCATTTTCGGGTCAAAAAGACCCTGAAGACCGCATAAGGGTTAAGTTTCAATGAAAACAAGACAGAAGTGATGGTTTTTGGTGGGACCACTGGGACCCCTCTGGTTGATTTGGGTGCCTTGTCTCAGTACATCAAGCCAACCATCACTAACAGTCAGATCAGGGCAGTAGTTAAATTGAGTTATTTCCAATTGAGGCAGCTGGCCAAAATAAAGCCATATCTTACGAGGCAACACTTTGAGACAGTAATCCATGCCTTTGTTACCACTCGGCTGGATTACTGTAATGTACTGTTATGGGTTAGTGGGCTTCTGTTGCTCGTTTGCAGATGGTGCAAAATGCTGTAGCGCATCTTTTAACTGGAACACGTAAATATGAAAATGCACTGCCCATGGCTGCCCATACGTTTTAGGATTCAATTTTAATTTTTTAAATCCTTAAATGGTCTTGCCCCACCCTAGATTTCTGAGCTGCAACACCCTTTTACATGCCCACCTGTTCTCTCAGGTCAGCTGATCAGCTGTTCCTAAATGTGCCCAAAACAAAGCGTAAGCTTAGAGGGGACCGTGCTTTTGCTGTGGCAGCTCCTAAATTGTGGAATGATTTGCCTCTGTCCATTAGACAGGCCTCTTCATTGTCTTTATTTAAATCGTCTCTTAAATAACATCTTTTCTCCTTGGCTTTTGACACCTGATGTTGATATTTGGTTATTTATTTTAGCTTTCTATGGTATCTTAATGTGTTTTAGTTGTATTTTGTCTTGTATGAGTTTTATTTTTCTGTACAGCACTTTGGTCCATTTCTGTGTTTTTATATAAATTTTATATAAAGTTTTGATTGATTGATTGAACATTTCAACATCCAGTTCACTTGGACTTTATGTATACTTTCACTTATGGTATGTCATGTGATTTCAAGGAAGCATAGTTTACACATGTCCATATAAAGGACAGCAGAGAACTTTCACTTTTAATTTGAACCGCAGGAGATGGTATGTCATGTGATTTCAAGGAAGCATAGTTTACACATGTCCATATAAAGGACAGCAGAGAACTTTCACTTTTAATTTGAACCGCAGGAGATGGTATGTCATGTGATTTCAAGGAAGCATAGTTTACACATGTCCATATAAAGGACAGCAGAGAACTTTCACTTTTAATTTGAACCGCAGGAGATGGTATGTCATGTGATTTCAAGGAAGCATAGTTTACACATGTCCATATAAAGGACAGCAGAGAACTTTCACTTTTAATTTGAACCGCAGGAGATGGTATGTCATGTGATTTCAAGGAAGCATAGTTTACACATGTCCATATAAAGGACAGCAGAGAACTTTCACTTTTAATTTGAACCGCAGGAGATGGACAAAGAACACACACACATTCTTCCACACTCAGGTTTGAATTTGTGAACTAATAATATCAATTTCGTTCCATTTGTTATAAATTATTTAGTGTCTCAAAATATTTTAAGGATCCATCATCATTTGTTGCATTTAATTCATGTTGAGACACTCTACTGTTCCACTCTACCGCCATTGGTACACTGTGTGATATTATATATTCATATATACATAGATAAATGCATACATGCATACAACTTACTAAAGTCAAAATTATTATTATTATTTTACAGCAGTAAAAATACTATATTACTACATTATGGCAATACAAGTATAATGTCTGGACATATTCAGATTACATTACCATATTGTGACTATGTGTAATTATGATGAAAATAATGTCATAATGCTAAATAAACAAACAAACAAACTTACTTAATGGTTTATAAAATAAAATATAATGGCAAAATATTTTTGCATTCTTTTTTTATTTTGGGGTGAAATATGAGCTGGCATATTTTGGTTGGATTCACCCACCCAGACTCCTGACAAATGAAAATAGCATCCAAAATCAAAGAGTAGTCATTTGCCATACCAAGGATAGAGTTTTGCCATGATTGTCAGTGCAACAGCAATACATGATTAATTAAATCAAACAATACTTTTGAATTAATACTCAATTAGGAGAGGGCATGTCTAATGTTACTTTATTGTAGAAAGGTCTGATTTGATTTTATGACCTCCCGCTTATGATATTATGATGTGAAACTAATATTTAACCAGTCTTGTATTAATAAATTGGAAGTTATATGTACATTTAATACATTTACATGGTCAAACGTATTTTGAAAACAGAAATTTTGCAACTAAGCCATAGAGGAGCGAATATATTTTGCAAGTTTATTTACAACAGTACATTTTAAAATGCTCACTGTGAACATACTTATAAACTTATCCTTCTGCTCTTAATGATTCCTGCTGGAAATTGACTAAAATAAACTGCAGTTTTGTAGTTTTAATTACTTGGCTCTTATGATATGATGTGAAATGTCTTGGTAACGTATGTAACCCTCATTCCCTGAAGGAGGGAATGGAGACGTCATGTCGGTATTGAACAATGAATTGGGATCTCGCTTAGAGAGACCAATCTACTTCGAGTGTAACTAAACGAGGCATGTGATGATTGCATCCAGCTGCCGCTGATCACAGCACGAGTATAACTATGCAGCAGGTGCAACGCATACTTAGGTTTTCGCTGAGAAGCCGAGCCGGGGACCCAGCCACTCAGCGGTAGTACAGCAGCTGTGGCGACGGGACGGCATGTCTCCGTTCCCTCCTTCAGGGAATGAGGGTTACATACGTAACCGAGACGTTCCCTTTCAGTCGGTCACTCTCGATGTCACATTGGTGACCGACCGAATAGGGATCCCTACCAAAGTGCCATGGATGCTTCCCTTCCAATGTCCTATGCGAGCCTCCTGTTCCCCCTTTTTGGTGTAGGCCGGGGCTCGCAAAAGGAAGACCAGTCACTGTTGTTGTAGCACACTGGGAAAAGTACCTGTTCTACTTGATACAGGAACGTTGCGGAAGCCCCAACCTTCCCGAAAAAAGTTTCGGAAGCACTTACGCATTTGAATAACCATTTAGGTACATATGGAAGAATTAGTGGTGGTTGTAACCCTCTTGAGGAATGGCAGAGAAGTCTGCCGGGGAAACACGGGCTCTGAGCTATACCATGGAATTTACACATATGGGATCCACTTAGGTCACTACATATGGAACCAAGCCCACTACCGGTTTCTTACGGATTCATTGAGGGAGGGCCTGGCGCCAGACATTCCGCCATGTCTGGCTGCCGAGGGGATGGAGGATCTCAACAGGGTCTACAGTACGGACACTCTGGAGCAGGGCAGGGCACACCCTGTGCCTGTTAAGCCAGGGCGATGGCATCCACTATCCAGTGGGCCCTCCTCTGCTTAGAGACGGCATTCCCCTTCTGCCGGCCCCGTAACAGACAAAGAGCTGATCTGAGGTCCTGAAGCTTTGTGTCCGGTCCACATACTATCTCAAGGCTCAGACGGGACAGAGCAAAGCTAGGGCTGGGTCTGCCTCTTCCGGGGGCAGCACTTGCAGGTTCACCACCTGATCCCTGAGGGGAGTAAAAGGAACCTTGTGCACATAGCTGGGCCGGAGCCTCAGGATTACCTGGGAGTCAGCCGGCCCAAACTCTAGGCTTGATTCATCGACCGAAAATGCGTGCAGGTCCCCTACCCTCTTGATGGAGGCCAATGCAAGCAGGAGCAGAGTTTTCATTGACAGAAACTTCAGCTCGACTGAGTGCAAAGGCTTAAAGTCCCCATGTAGTCAAAGATTTTGTCCCTTAAAACTCATCTTTGATCATCAAAACGACATTTAAATGTTTTTTGTGAAAATAATTTTCTCATGCCTTAAAATAGCTTGAATGTAACTCTACACCCTTGTCTCATTTACTATACGTGGATCTATGAATACGCAAATTAGCCCCGCCTCCACTCAGTCACACCAGCCAAGGTCTCCTGATCCACGGATAATCAAATTCAAGTTCAAGTTGAGCTTTATTGTCATTCTGCTACATGTGTGGACATACAGTGGAACGAAATGTCGTGTCTCGCAGGACCACGGTGCTACATAAATAAACATAAATATAAACATACAACACTAGATGTAAGAATAATTTTTAGACCTACATAGCTAACTATCTGAAGCGGTAATCTAACTACACATATACTATAAATAGTTGACTATACATACACATAACCTAAGACAGACTAAACAAGTACTTTACATAATAGCTGTGCATGATATTGTGCAAAAGAGGTATTTAAGGTTAAGAAGCAAGAAGTGCAGTATGATTTGTCGTGCATTCACAAGTAAATATTTGTGTTATCTTATTAAGTCCTTGTAACATGGAGTGTTTATAAGGTGTCTGATGCATATAGAGAGAAAAGAGTGTGTTTTTCTACAGGTGGTTTGTCCAGCCCACTCACCTGTGTGTAGCACACTCAGAATTGCACTATTTTTTCCTTGAAACATGGAGTGTTTATAAGAAAGTGTCTGGTGCATATAGAGAGGAAAGAGTGTGTTTTTCTACAGGTGGTTTATCCAGCCCACTCACCTGTGTGTAGCATACTCAGAATTGCACAATGTTCTTGAGGTTTTCAACAGTTTTCATGTGGTGCATATGGTGTGGTGGGATGGGGGGAGAGAGGATCCTGATTTCAGGAGGTAGGGTTGTGGATGAGGTTTCAGAGGGGGGTGAGGTGATTGGAATTAAGGGCTCTCACAGCCTGGGGGGAAACGCTGTTGAGCAGTCTTGCAGAGTGGGCCCTGATGCTCCGGTACCATCTTCCTGATGGCAAGAGCTGGAAGAGACTGTGGGAGGGATGGGTGGGGTCTTTCACGATACTGGTAGCTTTACTGGAGCATCGTGCAAGGAAAATGTCCAGAATTGAGGGGAGAGGGGCACAGATGATCTTTGCAGCTGTGTTCACTGTCTGCTGTAGGGTCTTGCGGTCAGCAGCATTGCAGTTCTCGTACCAGACAGTGATGCAGCTAGTCAGCACACTCTCAATGGTTCCCCTGTAGAATGTGCTAAGGATGGATGGAGGGAGATTTGCTCTTTTAAGTCGGCGCAGGAAGTGGAGCCGATGTTGCGCTTTCTTGGAGAGTGATGTAGTGTTGGTGGTTCAAATGAGGTCTTCTGTTATGTGCACGCCAAGGAATTTAGTGCTGCTGACTCTCTCCACAGTCGAGCTGTCGATGGTCAGTGGGAGGTGGTCAACAGAGTTTCTCCTGAAGTCCATCACAACCTCTTTTGTCTTACTCGCATTGAGGGACAGGTTGTTTGCACTACACCATTCAACCAGTTGTGCCACTTCCTATCTGTAGGGTGTTTCATCATTGTTACTGATGAGACCTACCACAGTTGTGTCATCAGGTAACTTGATGATGTGGTTGAAGCTGAACTTGGCAGTGCAACTTGGCAGTGGGTCAGCAGCGTGAAGAGCAGCGGGCTGAGCACACAGCCTTGTGAGGCACCTGTGCTCAGTGTGGTAGTGCTGGAGGTGTTGTGGCAGACATGGACTGACTGAGGTCTTCCGGTTAGAAAGTACAGGATCCAATTACAGAGGGAGGTATTTAGGCCCAGTAGGTTTAGTTTGTTGATGAGCTGTTGTGGGATTATTGTGTTGAATGCTGAGCTGAAGTCGATGAACAGCATTCTAACATGAGTCTTTGTTTTCTAAGTGGGTAAGAGCCAGGTGGAGGGTGGAGGAAATGGCATCGTCCGTGGAGCGGTTTGGACGGTATGCAAACTGGAGCGGGTCAAGTGTGTTGGAGATTGGATTTGATATGGTACATGATTAACCTCTTAAAGCGTCATGATTCATCATGATTGGGGTCAGTGCTATGGGATGATAGTCATTCAGGCAGGACACAGGTGACATCTTTGGTACTGGTATGATGGTGGTGGACTTGAGACGTGGGGACAACTGCTTGGCTTAGTGAGATGTTAAAAATGTCTGTTAAGACATCTGTCAGCTGTTCAGCACAGTCTCTCAGTACCCGGCCTGGTATGTTGTCAGGACCTGCAGCCTTGCGTGGGTTAACCCTAGATAGGGTCTTCCTTACATTGACTGGAGACAGACAGAGCACCTGGTCGTTGGGAGGTGTGGTAAGTTTTTGTGCAGGTTTGCCATTCTGCATTTCAAACTGTGCATAAAACTCATTGAGTGCATCTGGGAGGGATGTGTTGTCATCACAGGCCTGTGGCAGGGGCTTGTAGTCTGTTATGGTCTGAATAGCTTGCCACAGACTCCGTGTGTCCTTGCTGTCAGCAAAGTGATTATTGATTTTTTTGTGCATACAACCGTTTTGCTTTCTTAATGCCACGGGACAGGTTGGCTCTGTCTGTTTTGAGGAATGCTTTGTCTCCCGATCTGAATGCATCATCTCGGGTCTTTAGCAGCCCACGAACCTCTGCTGTCATCCATGGCTTCTGGTTGGCACGTGTGGTGATGTTCTTGGTGACTGTCACATCATCAATGCACTTTTTGATGTAAGCAGTCGCTGTTTCAGTGTACTCTTGCAGGTCTGTGTGGTCATGGTAGGTGGCTGCCTCTTTAAACATGTTCCAGTCTGTGTCCCGGAAGCAGTCCTGTAGTGCTGAGGTAACATCATCTGGCCATACTGTGATCTGCTTTTGGACCGGTTTGGCAAGTTTGAGAAGTGGTCTGTTTGCTTGTATTAGCATAACAGAGATGTGGTCTGAGTACCCGAGATGGGGCGGGGTGCAGCTTTGTATGCATTTTTTTCTGTTGTGTAAACCAAGTCCAATGTGTTGTTTTCTCTTGTTGCAAAGTTCACATGTTGGTAGAAGTTTGGCAAAACTGTCTTTAAGTTTGCGTGATTAAAGTCACCGGATATTATGAAAAAGCCATCAGGGTTGTTTGTTTGTTGCTCGCTGATAGCACTGTACAGTTCGCGAAAGCGTGTCCTTAGCGTTTGCACAAGGGGGTATATACACAGCAACAATAACAATGGCCGTGAACTCCCTCGGCAGATAGAAGAGTCGGCACTTCACAATTGTAAACTCTACCAGTGACGAGCAGTGTTTTGACACTAACACAGCATTGTTGCACCATTCTTTGTTAAAGGGATAGTTCATCCAAAAATGAAAATTTGATGTTCATCTGCTTACCCCCAGGGCATCCAAGATTTAGGTGACTTTTGTTTCTTCAGTAGAACACAAACGAAGATGTATTTGTGAATCTTAAGTATATTCATAATCTGCTTTACGTTTACCTGGCACTGGCAGTATTTTCAAAAACTTATAACATGCATACTTAGAACAGAACCATGGTTAAGGCTAGATGGCATACAGCAAAAACTACTGGGCACGCGCACATCAATATAATAATTTTTCTCACACTGTACAACAATTACTATTTTTGCATTATTGTAAGGGGGAGGTTTTGGGTTTGGGGTAGGTATAGACGTTATCAAAACACAATCTAAGAGGTAGAAAATTCTATTTATTGTTAGCTTCCGGTTTTTGCTGTATCCCTTCTAGCCACAACCCAGAACCATGCATCGTTCATTTATATTTCTACATGGCTCCCTGCAATACAACTCTGATTCTTCAATCGCTACATCTAATGGTCTGTTATTGATACAACAACTGCGAGTCATGTTGAGGTAATTAAAATGTCAAATTAATATTTTGCGTTCAATTATTTGACTTTTCAGGCAAGTGTGTACTTTTCCCACTTATCATGCAGCCAGTGTAGTCTTTATCACCCTGCAGAGGTTTCTTTTGCAAAATAATCTGCTGACTGTACATTGTCCCTTAGCCTTGCTGCGCCCCCCAGTTTGGGAACCACTGTGTTAACTAATGTTAACTATGTTAACTAATACAAAAATCTGAATGTTTCTGTGGTAACGGATGCATTTCTGCTTTTCAGCACCATCTGCTGTCAGAGAGTGAATGTGCGCTTTCATTCAGCACGTCTTCACGCGTTTAGCCATGCGCTTCTTATCCGTGCTTGTTTACATCAAGAGTGCGCATGCGTATTTGACCATTTAACCAGTTGATGGGAAAAGTATTCTTAAAATGCAAATAACAATATCGTGCATGTTCATTATCGAGATATATTGCATTACCGAATACCGGCACATGTCTAATTCTAAGTTTGGTCTTTTAATAGCTATCATTGTGCTAGTCCACTGAGCCACGTGAAGCATTTTCTTTGTAACAGATTTCTGAGGGAAACATTGTGAAACCTTGCACATGCGTTCATATTCTACATATGCTTAACTGTATATAGTTTGCATAATCAATAAGGTGTATACACTAAGATCTTTGTTATATCGCTGTTTTAGTTCACTGAGGCACGTTAAGTGTTTTTCACATTACGCGTCATTGGGGAATCCTGGAGTGTGACGTATGAGGGAACCCCACAGCACAGCATCACACAAGCCATGATACGTTAAGGAAACTAAGCAACTGAAAACAATATGTCTTCCTCAGATGTAATGTTAGTTTCTGTACATTAGCATTGGGTAAAATAGCATTATAATATCATCTGCAGTAGAGAAAGCTGCAACACGGGGAAACGAGTAACAGCGAAGACGTTGAATTAACGTGAACACAGTCAGCTTTTCCGCATATACTGTACATACTGGCCCTGATAATCATATCTTCTACTTACCGCTTGCACCATTTCTGCAAATCAGTTTTTGTGAATTAATTACTTAGTTCCCTCACTCTATAGCAACAGGTGGATTATGACATCAGAACCCGGAAATGTAATCCGCCGCGGGTTCCTTCGAGATTTTCCTAAGGGTTTTTAAAATGGAGTTTTTCAATTTATGAGTAAAATAAAGCCTTTGGTTAACATAACGTGACAATACTTTGACGTTTTGTTCTACAACGTAAATTACACACATCCATACCCAAAACATATTTTGAAGCAGTTATGTTCATTTTTGAAAACATATGTTTTTAATAAGTAACTAAATAAGAACGTTTAGGCTGTGCGTGTGTGCAGTTTGCATTGTAGAACAAAATGTCAAAGTATCGTCACGTTATGTTTACAACAGGCTTTATTTTACTCATAAATTGAAAAAAAACATTATAAAACCCCATAGGAAAATCTTGAAGAAACCCGCGCGGCGAATTACATTTCTGGGTTCTGACGTCATAGTTCCCCCACTCTATTGTCTTCATCACCACCTGCTTGCACCACCTGCTGGTGAGTGACCAACAGCAGATGGAGATCATGCATCAGTTCTCGACTGCTATTCCTGCAGTTTCCGGATGTACAATGCAGAATTGAAATTTGAAATTTAACCACTGAATTTGTGGAACCGTATTTGTAAAATGAAATAAAATGGACCGAAAATTGCCTGTCGAATATTATACATCGTATTTTTAAACAGGTTGAGTATTTCAGAAATGAATTCTGGAAGGTGAATATGAATTGATTTTTTAGTTATGAAAATGTGTGTGAATGTTTTGATTTGACATATTCACAGCTTAAATAAACAACTATGTTAAACTTCAGCCCCTAAAAATGCAAGCCCTGAAAATACAAGGCATTAAAATGCAAGCATTGTTAATGCAATACATTTTTTTCAGTTAGTGCAATTCAACATGACTTTTCACTTAAAGGCACGTTAAGTGTCTTTCACATTACGTGTCTGAAAAACATGCTTTTTTGTTTCAAAGGCATTTGTCATTACTTTTCTTCCATACTTTTGAACGCTAGCATCACATATACAGCTTCATATGTATGAGTTTTCTGGTTCAGTAGGTTTGCTCGGTAGTTCACGCACTATGGAGTTGCACTTGAGAGATGAAGAGTTCTGGTACAAACCCTGTGAAACTACTGTTTGGCAAAACAGCTCAAATCCGCTTGAGAAGGTTAAAATAGCACGGCTGCATCAACAAATGCGTTTTTATATCACTTTTTGCATTTGTTAACACTACCGGGTAGGTTTAGGGTTGGATTTGCTGTAGGGGATCTTTCCAACACAATAGAGCATTAACTTTTAGCGACACTCCATGGATATTTGAATTCTGAACAACGCAATAGGTACCTCAAGCAGCATAATAAAAACACAGCAATACATGCCTGTACCAGTGTAATAAAAACGTGACATGGTCACATATTGAATGCATGTTTTAGTGCTACTCTCTGGAAATTTCACTTTAAAACTGCCCGAGAAATGTGCAGTAAGGTATATGTAATAATGGTGTTGCAGAAATGTATAGAGGCATGTATTTTCATGAGCCTGGGTTGAAAATTATTCACAAGAAATTAACAGAACTTTAAGAATTAAATCCACTCAGAGATGTAAACTTCAGTCATAGCAGTGGCCTAAATGGAGTCACCTCATGGGGGCCAATGAAGGCCAGAATAATAGTCCACACACTTGGTGAAAGACATGCCCTTTTTTTCAGAAATTGGTGTGTTGCATCTTATTGTGTATATACCATATTATTACACAGTGCTCTGCAAAACTCAATTCTTATTGGTCAGTCACACCATCCAGTGGTCAGATATTTCTGAATAACACCCACACACCCCAAGATTAAGTGATAACAGACCAGTAATGGTAATCTTCACAGAAAATAGTCTTTAAGTCTAATACAGAGAGCTAATAAAATATCACAATTAAAATCAATATTTCATGTCCAATTACTTACATGGCAAGCAGCCATGTAATAAGTGGGGTAATGTCCATTTAGCCAGGTGTTATCACAAAATAAACCCTAACAGGGTGATCAGGACCCTGAAGCAAATTGTTGCTACAAGGTATTAAGTTTGCTTGAACATTATTCTAACAAAATGTAAGAAATGTCTAAATTACTCAAATGTTTATTTATTCAACAGGGCAAATTACGGATTTTAAACAGGAGTCAGATCAGATCAATACCTACAACAGGAACTGAAAAAATGAATAGTCTATTTCACAGGCTTCATCTTGAAGGCAGGCACCTCAATAAACTGAAAACTGCAGATGTTCATCAGTTATCTGCACATTCATTACAGTCCCATAAAGAGTCTTGTGCTGAAGATGAGCTGATTCAGACTTACATACAAAAACTATTGATGATGGACTACAGAGCAAGATACATTAAAACTAAAGAGACCAATGAGAAAGATCACACACAACAAAGTGCTAATGACTCATCTGAAATCGAGGGTGATATATTCAAAGAAATGAATTTTTCTAACGAAGCAACAAGCCAATCTGATCTCATTCACCCAATGGATGTCCAGATGGGCGTGTTTCATTGTGCTGATGGTTTCCTGAAGCAGCTTATGGTGACTAAACTGTCCCAGTGTCAGTACGCTCTGCCTCTGCTTGTTCCTGATCCATTCACACAACAGATTGAGTTTCCTCTCTGGACATTTAGACAAATCAACAAGAGCTGGAAGATGACAAACACCAACAATGAAACCATCAGTCAAACCCAGCCGATCTACAAGGCAGAAACTCCAATGGTGTCTTTCTTCAGGTTTGGCTCTGTGTCTTCATCCAAGTCTCAGCTGATGAATAGTCTGATCAATGAGAAACACAACACGTTCTTCCACAGGAACTGCCCAGGCAGCAGCAGAACCAGAGTCCTGATTGATGGAGTGGTGGAGATCGCCTGGTTCTGCCCCTCTGGAACAGTTGATGATAAATTTACTGACTGTGTAGCTTTTTGTAATCTACATGGTGATGCAGGAGACCATGAGAAACAGCTGCAGATCCTCACTGAAATGGCCTCAGTAAATGTTGTTCTTCTACCACAACTGGACAGGAATGACAGAAACGCAGCAAAGATCCAAAACCTGTATAAGAACAGAAAGCCACTCATATGTCTTTTTACTGAGGATGTTTCAGCTGCCACTGAGACCCGAAAAGGCAAATACAAAATCGGTTTGAAAGGAAGAAATCAGTCAGATGTATCTGAGGAACTCAGAAAAACTATAAATGATTGTCTCTCAGAATCATCTTCCACTTTCAGACTTGAAAATGTGTCCAAACTCTCAGACATCAGAGTAGATGAGGAAAATGATGATGACTGCAGGAGAGGAAGAGAAGCAGCAAAGCAGATGATGAGTTTACTGGGGAAGAAAGATCAGACAGAAATCAAAGAATTATTTCTACCTCATCAGGGGAAACTGTGGCAACAGTGGAGTCAGAAGAACAAAGAACTACATCGACTTCGAGGAGATGAAATAGAAATGGAAATAAGTAGAAAACAGACAGAAATGGATCAAATACGTCAACAGCAACATGAATCTGACATCAGTGAATTTATTAAGTTATTTATTAAAGAAATGAACTCAGATGCTTCAAACAAAATGATTTTTCTTAAATGGCTCAGAATTCTCCTGGATGAACATACATCAGCTGAACTTCGTGATCTACATAACAAATATGATGAAGCATGGTCAAATATCCTAAAACTGAAAGAAAAAGAAGACAAATCTGATCTAAAGGCCCAAAAACAATCAGAATTTGAGAGAATAACCGAAGAACTTCAAGATGCAAACTTTGGTTTGGAGCACATCATGAGGGAGATTGGTCAGATCTATGAATCATGCTCATCTGTGAAGGAGAACAAGAAAGACCTGCAGATTGACTTCTCTTCTCTCCCAAGTCTTGCAGCAGAGATGATGATCTCTGGATTTCCACTGGAGCTGATGGATGGAGATGCTGCTCATGTTCCTATGATCTGGATCTCTGCTGTTCTAGATCAAATCATCCAGAAACTGGGAGACCAGAGAGTCTTTGTGCTGTCAGTTTTAGGAATTCAGAGCACTGGGAAATCCACCATGCTGAATGCCATGTTTGGACTCCAGTTTGCCGTCAGCGCTGGCAGGTGCACCAGAGGAGCTTTCATGCAGCTGATCAGAATCTCAGATGAGATGAAAACACAGATGAACTTTGACTATATTCTGGTTGTTGATACTGAGGGTCTTCATGCTCTAGAACTAGCTGGAAGATCAATAAGAGATCATGACAATGAATTGGCCACATTTGTTGTGGGTCTTGGTAATGTGACATTAATCAACATATTTGGAGAAAACCCATCTGAGTTGCAGGACATTCTTCAGATTGTTGTTCAGGCCTTCCTGAGGATGAAGAAGGTGAATCTGTTCCCCAGCTGTGTGTTTGTGCATCAGAACGTTTCAGATGTCACAGCTGGAGAGAAAAACATGGATGGAAGGAGAAGACTACAGGAGACACTGGATGAGATGACAAAACTCGCTGCTAAAGAGGAAGTCTGTGATGCAGAAAGTTTCAGTGATGTCATTAGATTTGATGTTCAGAAAGATGTGAAGTATTTTGCTCAGCTCTGGGAGGGAAACCCACCAATGGCACCACCAAACCCAAACTACTGTGAGAATATTCAAGAACTAAAGAAAACTATTATGTCTCATGCCTCAAAATCAGTTAAAATGACAATGGCACACATGAAAGATCGTATTCAAGATCTCTGGGAGGCATTACTAAATGAAAGATTTGTGTTTAGCTTCAGAAATTCTCTGGAGATTGCAGCTTACAAGAAACTGGAGACAGAATACAGGAAGTGGACCTGGAGTCTTCGCAGTGCCATACTGGAAATTAAGAACAAACTACATAACAGAATAGAAAACGAAGCAATTCATGAGATTGAGAATACTGATCTTCAAAGAGAACTGAAAAAGACAAGTGAAAATGTGAAAAAATCCATGTCAGATTTCTTTGAGAAAGACACAGATGCAAATATACTGATTCACTGGAAAGCATCATTTGAAATCAGAATCAAAGATCTTCAGGAAAACATTGTGAGAGAAACAAAGAGGAAATTAAATGACGTTCTTAAGCAGCGAGACCTGCAGAAAAAGATTGATTCTCAGAGGAAACATCATGAAAATACTCTCTATGAAAAGAGCAAAGTACTTGCCTTAAAACTCAAAGAGAGAACAAATGATGAAGAAACACTGAAGAAAGAGTTTGATTCATTTTGGAAACAGTGGATGAATGAGATCACAAGAGACGCTCATCCAATCAAAGATATTGACATAATGAGGGATGTGAGAGAAATCCTCAGTGACATCTATGAAAGTGTTCCTGTAGATCACTGGAGGAAGAGCAGGAATATTTTCACTATGCCAAGTTATTCAGACTATGTACAATTAAAGAAATCCAGTGGACTTACAAAAGCTTTCAAAAATGCCTACAGATCAGCAAAAGAGTTGTTTGGTTATGGTCCTCTCTCTAAAGATGATGAAGCCCAAATAAAATCATTGGTCACAGATGTTGATCAACAGACAGACACAATGATTAAGTCATTTAACATTTCAAAGATGGGCTACAACATCAGCTACATTCAACAAATCACAGGTTACATCAAGGCAAGGGTAACAGACCATGAGGAAGGACGAGTGAAATATGTGTTCAAGAATGAATTCTTCATGGATTTGGTTCTTTCCATCTGTAATAGAGCAAACAAGATGTTCACTGACCAACACAGACTGTTCAGGGAAGCCAATGATCCTTTTCTCTATTTAAAGAGGAAGAGAGAAGAGTACTGCAGTATTTTCCAGAAATACTGTCATGGAACAACATCAGCTGCTATTTTTGGTGAGATCATCTGTCAGAAATTGAAAGAGCCCATGGAGCAGAGTGTCTACAAGAAGACTGCCAGAGATTTATCAGATGAAATGATGAAAAATTGTGAATCACTGAATGGAAACAGATCAGATCTGGAGAAACGCATCCTGAAGAATCTGGCAAAACAGGAGGATTTTGACAAATACATAGACTACATTCATAATCACAGAGATCACTTCAAGTGTTTCATCAGAGATGAAGTCAGTCAGTACATCAATGATCATTTCCGTGTCAGTGTTTTACCCAAGATAAAGGAGAACATTAAACTCCTGCAGCAGAAGATCTTGAAAGCAGCACATGAATCCACTGAACATGTTCAAGAGAACAGAGGAAATGCTGGTTTGTGGTTGAGTAGTTTCACACAGCAGCTCTCAGATTACCTGATCTTCACTGAAAAAGACATTAGTGGAGTGAAACTTGATGATGTTGATGATTTCAACCTCATAGAAGATGTGATGAAGAATAAAATTCCTGGAGTAATTTCTGAAATCAACAATCATTTCAATGACTTTCTTTGGAAGCTGGATTACAAGGACAGACCAGATGAGCTTCTGATTGATCACTTCTGTCAGTGCTGTTGGGTTCAGTGTCCGTTCTGTGGAGCCACCTGCACCAACACAGTAGAAAACCATGATGGAGATCACAGTGTTCCTTTTCATCGTATTGATGGACTCAATGGGTTCTATCAAGATGGAACACAGAATTTTTGTACAGAATTTTGCTCCTCTGTAGTGAAAAGTTCTAAATTTTTTAAATCATCAGGTCAGTGGTTTCCATTTAAAGAATATAGAAGTGCAGAAGGTATTTACGCAAAGTGGAGCATCACCCCTGATCTCTCTGATTTGCCCTACTGGAAGTGGTTTGTGTGGACATTCCAAAAAGATTTGGAAAAACACTACAATACATCATTTCAGGGGAGTGGAAAGATACCAAAATATTGGAAAAAATTCACAAAAAATGATGCAATTAAAAGTTTAGATGAAAACCACACTTTGCAGAGAAAAGAAACACTGGGAAAGATATTAAATGAATTTATACGCACAAAAATTAAATATTAAATTAATGAGAGAAACAAAGAGGAAAGTAAATGAGCTTCTTCACCAACAATACCTGGAGATATAGGATTATTATCAGAGAAAACATCATGACAATATGAAAAAGAATAAAGAACTTAACGCTGACAGAAATAGAAGAAATATTCAATTATGTTTAGAGGCAATTGGTTGCAGAGAAAAAGACAGTCATTCAATCAAAGATGCCGACATTTCTAGAGATCTGAACTTTGATCTCATTTGAAGTCTCCTTGTAGAACACTGAAAAGAGTTTAGACAGTGCAAGAACATGTCATCTGTGCCAATTTATTCAGAATAAGTTATTTTTTTAAAAGATGTGGTTTTGGGGTGTAATTTTACGATTTTTTTTATTATTCACAGGTTAGGTGAAGTAGGTTGACTGGCCTCAGTTATAACAAGCATATTAAATATTCTTACAACTTGGACAGAAAACTCATCTGTTGTCTGTTCTTGCTCAATGGGCCATTAATGCCTTGTAAGGAAGATTTAGTAACACTTTACAATAAGGTTCATTAGTTAACTACTTTAGTTAACATGAACTAATAAATGATGTTGAAGTATTGTTCATTCTTAACCTTAGTTAACGTTAATTTCAGCGTTTACTAATGCATTATTCAAATCAAAAGTTGTGCTTGTTAACCTTAGTTAATGCACTGTGAATTACCATGAACTAACAATGAACGACTATATTTTCATTAATTATTGTTAACTGTATTTTCATTACATTAACAAAGATTCATAAATACTGTAATAAATGTATTGTTAATTATTTGTTCATGTTAATACTTTAACTAACATTAGCTAATGGAACCCTATTGTAAAGTTTTACTGAATTTATTTTTTCTCTAAAAATAACAGTCAATATAATGATATATTGATTGAATCTCTTATCCCAGCAGTTAAAATATATAAAAAATGTAAGTTAAATTACAAAAGTCATAGGCAATACAACACAAGCCTGTTTTTGACATTCTCCTCATTTAGCAAGCTCTTCTTTTGTTTGCATCGCCCCTCATCAAATGCAACAAACTTTCTTGTAGAATAATTATAAAGTTGCTCTAATATATGTCTCTCTTCTTTGTTGTAAGCAGAGCGATCTCATCTCTTTGACCTCAAATTACACATACTAACTCTGCAGCCCTTTTCTAGCCTAATGTTACGTTTCATGTATGTTTGTATTTCTCTCCTTCTCTTTTTTCTCTCGCTATTGTTTTCCTATTCGTTGTCTCACTCCCAGGTCCTCGTGGAGTAGATGAATCACTTGTCAATCATCATTAGGGTGTCCTCTCTCTCTGCAACCAATCCAGTGCCACTCGGCTGATATGAAGGTCTCTCTGTGCGCCTTACTGAGCAGTTCAGTGTGTGCGAGTATTTTGTGTTGTGTATCATGTGTTAAGTGATTGCTTGTGAATTTGTGAATCGAGCACTTGACTTTGTACTGTTTAACTTTATGCTGGTATCTGATAAGAGTTTACTGTTCTTTTATCTGGGGAAAAGAGAACAGGTAAGCAAGTCGCGAGATATACATATTACCTCTAGTTATCGACTGTTAGATCATACCAGGCAAGGAGTTTGCGCCATCCCTTGTTATATGTAGTGTTGTGTGCACTTAAGATTTCGGGTTTATCTTTTACATTTTTCTTTGGTTAGAAGGTTTTGGGAAAATATTTTATGGGAATTGTTTTGTTTTATTTGGCGCCACTCTAGTTCCTTTCCACCTCACTTATTTGTATTTCGTTTTGTCTTTTTTTTATTGAATATTGCTACATTGTAAATAGCTTATACACTGTGTAGTGGCTTCGGCTTGTGGTCAATAAACACCTGATTTGGCATGATTTTCTATTTGCTATGGTTCTTTCTAATTCCTCCACTCTTACCAGCAACAATAACACAACTAAATGTAACATTCTATCCCCTGGTGTATTTGTAACATCTAATGTTGACAACGCTGTCGAGTAATCACTAAAACACAGCATACAAATCTTATTGTCACAATCACACCAGGCTCTCTCACTCACTCGGCCTCAAACTCACCAGAATAACAAACATCTATGAAGCACACACAAATCAACATCAGTGTTTGGGTGCGTCTCAACCAGCTCCAAAGCTTGTAAATTAGTATATTGTGTACACCAAGGGTGCCCAATCCTGTTCCTGGAGTTGCAACCTTGATCAAACACAACTAAACCAGCTAAATAAGATCTGCAGTAGCAATTGATCATTTTACTGTAAGTATTTTGTGATTGAGACAGCCCTTAAAATGGCCAAATCCCTAATCAGTGGCCTGACTACTGAAGTAGGGAGCTGATTGAGATGCACCCTTAGGCTGGCCTCGTCAAAATAAATTACTTTGTGTAGAGGAGGGCTGAGATTATTTTAACAAGACTAAGAATGGGACATACTAAACTTAATTGGACTCTTTATATAATAGGTAAACATAGTACAGGATTATGTGAAACATGCCAAGTAAAGGAAACAGTAGAACATGTGTTATTAATTTGTCATACTGTAGGTATGAGCAGGAAAGGAATTAATTATTAAGAGAACTCTGCAACATGGTGTGCAAATAATTTACAATCAGAAATTTATTAAATACAAATCAAGCATCAGGTAAAATTATAAAAGCTGTTTTAAAATTCATTAAAACTAGTGATCTTAAGAACAGAATATAGATTTTATCATGCACGCCTAGACTGAAATCACTTTACACTCCAGCACAGGTGGTGGCGATATGCACCTAAAAGCTGGTATGCAACTCGCCATTAAACCCACAGAAGAAGAAGAGGAGGGCTGAGTAACCAGAGATTGGCTGCGTCTGAAATGGCATACTTACTATATTATACTATATAGTAGGCAAAAAGCAGTAGGCAAGCAAATGAGTATGTTTGAATCCTAAGTATTCATAAAAGAGTAAGTGAAAATTGCACTAATTCTCGCGAGATTCGGACGTACGTATACTTAAGTTGCGTTCTAATATGCCTACTTGCCTACTATATAGGTATAAAACAGTACGTGAAGAGATTAGTATGTCCGAAACCTCAGTATTCCTAAAAGAGTAGGCGAGAAGTTCCCGGATGTCCCCTGTGAAAAAGAAGTGTGCTTACTTGCAGTAAAAGTGTACTTTTTGTGTACTTCAAATATTAAAAGTATACTTTTTAAAAAGTGCACTTGCAGATAAAATAATATAATTTAAATTAAAGGCCACTTAAGTGTACTTAAAGAGAGTACATTTTAATGATGATAGGTCTTAATATACTTAAGTGCACTTTTTAAAAATGCACTTTATAATAATGTCTAATTAAGTATTACTTAAACGTACATTTTACATAATTATGATTTTATTGTGTTTTAAATAAGTACACTTATTTTGATATATTTATCAATATACTAAAGCACATGTAAAATAATTTATTTTAATTTCAATTTAAGTGTGTTCTCCAAAATGTAATTTGTTAATGTATTATAAATGTAATTAGTCTATAATATACAGTATACTATGTGCATTAATGCACTTGAAATTTATTTTTCTTCTAAACTTAAATACACTTTCTTATAAAGTATACTCCAATAAAACTTATTGTTGACATTTTCATCACCAGCTCTTGCGCTATAAACTCTATGAAGTTTAATTTTCGACATAATATTTGACATACAGTGTGATTTATGAGAGAACTGTATTTGTATGTAATAGTACTGTACTTTACATCTGTGTACAGAATACTTTCAATATTATTATGTTGTTCTAAGTCACTTAAACACATCCCTGATAGCAATGGACTCCGGGGCGGATCCGCCCTCAAGTCGGTAGATCCAAAGTGGCCGGAAGTCATTCATTTTCAATGTGAGCCGGCGTCGAGCAGCGGTGCGTCTTGGACGCGTAGTGTTGCCAACTAATTTTCAGGGGAAGTTGCTAAAGGAAAATTGATTTGTTGCTAAAAGTTGCTAAATGACGTGATGTCATTGCGCGGTGACGTCATTGCGTAATCACGATGCAAAATTGCACTGCATCAAATCTCAGTAAAAAACTAAAAATGTAAATATGTTAATTTAGATGTGTTTATAAAATAATATAAATGCATAATATAATATTAAAATATAAATAACACATTTTAAATGCAACATTGAATTATTTAAGACTTTCACATTTTTTAACAATTACAATTTTTATTAGCTAGTAAACTAGTAAAACTACTCATTCTGAACAATTATAGATTCAAGCAGTGTATTATTAGTAGTTCGTATGCTACACTCTAAGAAAAGTCTGTAAAAATAGGGCAAAATCTATTAATATGAAGGAATTTTCCATAATTATTATTCACATGTTTTTTTTACCTATTTTAAATTACGCATTGTATTTTGTGTTTTCGGGTTATGGATAATGTCCTGGAAAATTACTACATTTTTCATTTTTCTAGATATTTTTCTTGATCAACTGATCAACAATCTCAAGTACAAACTACTAACAAGGTGTATCATAAATGAACAATTATTCAATTATTATTATTATTATTAAATTAAACAATTGCTAATAGCAGCTAACTTAATTCATGTGAATTGTGTACTGCTAGGCACATTTGGTTTCCTCTTTTTGTGTAATTTAAATGGAAAATTAGTGCCTTTTTTATCGTTTGAGTCACTTATCAAAATTTGCTAAATGTTGCCAAATTAATTTTTTTAAATAGCTAAATTTGTTGCTAAATTGGCAACACTGCTTGGACGTTGAGGGCGTCGAGGGGAGTTGAAATCATGTCAACTTTATGGTAATGAGCTATGACGCGGTTCGCCGGTAACCAATCGGAACGTAGAAGTCCACCACTTGAGAGGATTCCAGAGAAGGCAGCCCTGTAAACTTTGGTTCCGACCACATTAGTTCCCAAGCGCGAGGCGCAAGGACTTGCTTTTCCACCGCACACACCTCTCTCTCTCTTTATCTGCGTCTGCTCTGTTCAGCGAGTGGCAGAGAAGCAACGCTTTCTGTAAAAATAGATTATGTTGCTTGCTTCTCTGATTTTACATGCAAATATAGCCAAAATCACAGCACAGGAATTGTCTTTGTCTGGTCTTATCTTATGTGTATTTAATTTCATCAAACGATGGCTCAATTATAAATCGGGATTTTTGTGCAGATTAACATCTTGGAAGGGAGAGCTGGTGTAGTCTTAAAGGCCCGCTTTTCAGTCACTATTTCATATTTATCCCATTGTCTGAACAGAAACAGTAAAATATATAAATGAAAACAGTTTTATTGAGAATTTGGCTAAATTAAAATACAATGTGCGAGCACAGAGAGACAAACAAATGTAAAAGGCAATACGATGTGATGACATCATGAATATGTTAATTAGCGTATGACATCATCAAGCGACATTTAGCGACTTTTCAAGCTGGCTTAAGCTACTTTCCACTGAAAGACGTTGGCAACAGTAGGCGTGTTTCCATTACAGATTTGCGCAAAACTTTGGTGATATTTCTGAATGTCGATAAAAAAGTATTGCGAAATGACGACGTTTTCATTAACCAATGTTATGCGACTTAAACGTAACCTTTTGCCTCTCGCGATAAATCATGGCAACGGATTTTGGTGGGATTTTGGCTATATTTATTCAAAGGAGGCTTATGTGTGTATCTTTACAGAAGCAGCAAAGAGAGCCACTTCAGAAACGTGCGTGGCGTGGCTGGAATAAACCATAGACTGTATAAAAACATAAACACAAGCATTGAGTGGCCGTAATCAGCTTCAGTGACCGTATCAGAGCTACACTGCACTGCAGACGTGTGCAGTGTAAATTGTCTAAGCATTAATGGTAGGAAAGCCCCTTATACTGGAGCGCGGCCACGTGTGAAGTGTTTCTTGGAGGTTATAGTACATTGAAGAATGATCATATGACTTTTTACATACGCCATGTGACCTGTAAATGCGAAAAAGCCGTTTCCATTGCAGTTTTGCAAATTATTCCTTTTTCGCATTGCCTGAAAAACCACCTCATGCGAGCGTAAAAACCTTTTTTGCGATATATGGGCGTTTTTGCAAAATTGACGCGTTTCCAATAGGCGTATTTTCAATTCGCAATTTCATTTTGTGCAATTTGAAGGGTAATGGAAACACGCCTACTGTTGGCAGGGCGGCCAGAGCAATTTTTGACGCTCTCGACGGCGGCGGTGTTAACGCACAGTAAGAATGCTTTTAAAATATGCTTTATTAAAACTATTTAAACTGGAAACGGATCCATAATCGCGTGATAAAGATGTTTATGCTTCATTTACATAGCTTTCCTTATATGGTATCAGCCCATATATGGGTTCATTTTAAATCTTGGTTTTAGGATTCATAAAGCAGTAAAATAAAGCTTAGAAATGTATTCTTCCCACACACGAATTTCCGCCTAACCATTGCGAATAATTTTTTCGAAGAATGTGTATTTTATATATTTTTCAGTCAACAGTCAAGTCATATATCACAAGAAAGCTCTCATTCTCCGGAATTTGACTATGTAGATTATTTCATTGTGTGACAATCACAGATCGAATGATCTTCAATAGAATCGCGATGTGACATTTCTCACCTCTAAGTACATTTTCGTATGGGTTACATTCCTACTTGTAGCACTGCTTCAGTCAGCCGCAAATATCTATATACTCTATATTATCTTTTAGATTAGGATATCTTCTTTCAAACAAGACAATTTTCACGTTTCTGCGTGCTTCCATCGGTGTGCTATATAGCGTTTTGTCCAGATGCGCACCAGAGATTACATGCGCACTTTCTGCCACAGTTCCGTTTTTGAACTTTGAATCTTTATTTTGAAACGTGATAGCACAGCTAACAATCGGATAAAACTGTTTATTGACAGAAAAGGACTGTACATTATGCATTCCAGTAAATTTACAGTAAATATACATGGAATCATTATAGTGCTGTGTGAATGATCATTTATTTGTTTGTTTCACGCTCTGAAGTTCATAGCAGCCGCGGCTATCGTTTTAGTTCAGATCTGGTCCAGGGATGCAAAGATGTTGGTATACAGGGATGGCTCAGCTGATGAGGTAAGAAGATGCTCTGAATCAGTATACCAATACAGAATGCACATAAATGGAATGATATAAAGCTGGAGGATGTGGATTCTATTTTAGATTGTGATGGACCAGATTTATTTTATAAGTCTTCTGTATCCTGAAAGAATAACACTGGATTGTAGAAAGCACAAAATGTGAAATTGGTCCAATTCGCTTATGCCATTTTGTATATTACTACTTAGAAAAACATAAAAATTAAACATAATTCAATCAATAATCAAGAAAAGTGCTTATGGCACATAGTAAAATAGAATTATTGGGGTAAAGTGTTTTATAAAGCCTGCTTTTGCAAAGGAAACTCAAAATGACACATGTATATGCAAAAAAGGAAAATTTTACTCGCTTCACATATAATGCAATAACTCCTGTTTAGATTATTTTTTCTGGTACATTTTGGCATCAAACAAAGTAAATTGCAGAGAGCTGGGCCTAATAGAACCTGAATTACAGATTTAAAAATATATATTTTTTTAAAAATCCAAAAGCGCCTATGTTTTTTTGTGTTTATATATTTTTCAAATATTACAATAATGTTATTTATAAAGAATTACACTCATATTTTGAAGGTTTTTTTTTTTACAATGAAACCATTTTTTTTTTCATTTCCTCCATTGTATGTGTGTGGGGTAAGCATTTGAGTTTGAGTATGTCAAATTTAGGCGAAAATACCAAAAAACGCACCAGAGAATAACTGGTTAATGTTACTGGCAACTGTACAAATAAAGTAGTTATTTGCTTTGTTGGCTTTTTTTATTTTTGAAATTGCATTGTGTTATGTCCAGTTAAGGTTAGCTCTTTATATCGTTTGAGTAATAACAGGCCTATTTGGACGGGATCTCCTCCTTCCTGTGAGACGGGTAGTTTAGTTGGCTATCCGGATTTGAATCCATTCCTGATCGCATATGTAGGTAATTTTTCACCCCTCTTCAGGAATAAATGCAGGTGAGAATAAATGTATTTTTTTTTCACTTAAATTTTGTTCTAGAGTATTAACGTTAGTTCAAGTAAATTTTTTCTTGTATTTCGACAAATATATTCCCCACCTCTCCTCCTAATGTTGTTTTAGTACAGGGGTGCCCAAGCTCGGTCCTGGAGGGCCGGTGTCCTGCAGAGTTTAGCTCCAGCTTGCCTCAACACACCTGACTGGAAGTTTCTAGTATGCCTAGTAAGAGCTTGATTAGCTGGTTCAGGTGTGTTTGATTGGGGTTGGAGCTAAACTCTGCAGGACACCGGCCCTCCAGGACCGAGCTTGGGCACCCCTGTTTTAGTACATATGAAATGAGCTAGCGGACTCATTACGGAAGCTGGGCGGTGCGGCATGACATAGATTCCCATTCTCTATATTTAAGGTTAAATGTTTACAAACCTAACTACATTTAACAGCAATCTTTGGTTGTGGTATACTAGTTTGTGTCGATTTTTCTTTAAAAATATATTCCCCACCTCTTGTAATGTTTCAGATCATTTATATGAAATTAAAACATACTAAGATACTGTGTGTGTGTGTGTTCTGTTGCAACTTTACAGCTCATTCAAGTGCTCCAGTCTGGTTTTTGATTCTACATCATCCTTCGATATTCTACTTCATCTTTAAAAGTAAGATTAAATAGAGTTTTAAACTTGATTTAGCCAACTAGTTTGTCAAATACTTATAACGTGTAATAAATATGCAGTGTCAAAAGATTAATATCAACATTTAAAGTTATGTTTACAAACCTACTTTTACATCCTACATTTAACAGTAATCTTTGCTATGAGATGTCATGACATTTTGTATGAAAATGTGCTTGTGTGATTACAGGTGCTGTAAGAAAAAGTCGACACCGATACTTAATACTTATTTCAGTGTTTTTGTCTCACTCTTCTACAGCCAGGAGCTGCTAGGACCACAATGCAGTTTTATCTTGCTTATAGTCACTGTTAAACCAGTCGTCCTCTACTGGCTAAACGGCAGCCCTGCTGGACGGACTACAACTTCTCCTCCGACCAAACGCCAGCATGATGTATCCTGATCTTCAAGCAGTAGCAGCTGAATGAAATATTCTGAATGACATCAGTCCACAATCTCACTAGTGATGTAGCCTGAAATCATAATCACACCATCTTTGTTAATTTAACCAGAGGAGAGTTGAGCAGACTACACCTGGTTTCTCCCAAGGTGTTTTTTCTTCGTTTCAGTCACCTGCTGGAGTTTGGGTTCCACTGTCACCTCTGGCTTGCTTAGCTGGGGTTTAAAAGACACTGAATATTCAGTAATAATATTGATTTGATTGTACTGACACTATTGCATAATGACAAAACTTGAATTGAATTGAGTTGGATTATGATGTCACTGTTTTCTCCAGAGCTGCTTTATTGCCGAATCGGCTTTGTTTCATAATGTATTAATTTTGCAACATTTTTACTGATATTACATTTTATTAAATCAACATCAAGCTGACACAAAGTGAATAATGAAACTTTTGTGTGCTATAAAATTCCTTATAGCTGAATTGAACTAATTAATTCGTAAAGATTAACTTTATAAATTTACTGAACTGAATTGTCTTTTAGAGTTTTTCATTAAATAAAACAATGTTTTTGTACAATTTGTGGTTGCATTTTATTTTATTTTTTTTATTCATGTAATTACCTACGTTTATAGAGTGTTTCATTGCTATTGGCAAAGGAAAGTTGAGATTTTTTCAAGTTTTGAATGATTTTATGGTTTTTCAATATTTATAAAGGGAGACATATGGAATATATAAGCTTTTATAGAGCAATCTAGTCTATATAATGTTTGTCAGCTCTATTTTAGATATTTCCATAGCTAGTTTTGGCCAGATTACCCATTTTAAATAAGGTATAGAACCACTTAAAAAAATGGGTCCAGATCGGATCCGGGCCAGATGAGCGAATTCATGAACGGATCCGGATCGGCTCCGAGCCGAATATACCACTTTTTTAGCGGATACGGGTAGGGTCTGGAACGGATCCGGTCCGGATAGCTTATCTGTTCCGGATCCATTGCGCTGTGCAAGTGGACTCCGATATGGACCCGTTTTGCGGATCCATTCCGGAGCTTTTGGTGACTCCGGGGCGGATCCGCTCCGGAGTTATTTTGCTATTTGGGATTTAATTGCAAGCAAAAGTTTAACAGATCTAAACAAAATTCATTTGCATTCAAATACAATTGATTTTAATTAAACTAGGCTACACTACACTGTAAAAAATTACTGACTTTGTTAGGTGAGTGAATCTAACAATAGTCTCTAACAATAGTCTAACAATGGTCTAACTACACAATGAATTACGACAACTTGAACTTGAACAGAAATGAAAAGCCAGGAATAACATGTAACCATGCACAAAGTATCTCTTTTGTTTAATGCGTATGCGCCAAAAATACTACGTCATGATGGCGTGCTACTTCAGCAGAGTTTGAAAAATGCGCTGCGCACCATGTTTCTGTAATCGTGATGCATGAGGGAGCTTCGCTGATCAAACGAGAACAAAGGAGCAGTGCATTTGGATGATTACAGGTGAGACTTGATGTACTGCAGATAATTAATCAAGTAAGTATATCTTGATATAAGCTTTCTTTATTCTTAATTTAGTCTTGCCATTCCTGCTGCTGTGGAAGATTTGTATTAATCAAAATATGAACTAATCAAGTATAACCAATGTGAATCTAGCCATTTATGTATCAAGTTATTCTACTAGTATAATCATGTATTTGCCTGTGTGTAGAGGCCTGCATGAGAATGGAATGTGCAGACATTACAAAACTGCAATATATGGTGAAGCTGCACATCCTATTTGGACATTAGACAAAATATATGATGGGGCCTCTTTAGTCATGGAACATAAATTGGGGCCTCCTGTCTGCTTCTGGGTGGCAGGCTGGAGACACAGCCAAAAGAGGTAAAAGAGTTGATAAACAATAACCATATGTATGAAATGTATTGCACATGGGCACGCCTTCGGGAAGCACTGTATAAAAGAGAGTACAGACACAGACTCGATAGATTGTCCTGCAGAGCTTTCTCGATTTTATTGTCTCTGAATAATAAAATCTAAATTCTGGCATCAAGACCCCAAGACTTTGAGAATGATTCCCCACTGTCACAAACAGGCCAGAGACAAGAGGAGTGGAGGATGAGCTGGTTGAATGTTTCGCGGGCATGGCTGTTCCAGGACAGGGACTTGGGTTTGCCTCGTAGCATGGAAGTAAGAGGGGCCGTGAGCATGCTGAAATTCTTCACAAACCGTCGATAGAAGTTCGCGAATCCCAGGAATCTTTGTAACTCCTTCACCGACTGTGGAAGCGGCCATTCCCTGATGGCCTTAACCTTCTCCTGGTCCATCTGGATAACTTCCTGGCTGATGACATATCCGAGGAGCGATGGAATTCACACTTCTCCAATTTCAAATACAGCTGGTGTTGACGGAGCTTCTGAAGGACCTGCGTGACGTGGTGGCGATGTTCGGCCAGGTTCCGGGAGTAGATGAGAATATCATCAATGTAGACAAATCACAAACTTATTGAGGAACTCCCGGAACACCTCGTTCATGAAGCTTAGGAAGATGGACGGGGAGTTTGACAGACCATACGGCATGACCCGATATTCATAGTGGCCTGCAGGGGGTAATGAACGCCGTCTTCCACTCGTCGCCCTCCCTGATTCGAATGAGGTTGTACGTGCTCTGCAGGTCCAGTTTGGAGACGACGCGAGCTCCCCGGAGTTCCTCCAGGGAGGCTGGGACCAGGGGAAGTGGGTATGGTAGTTTCACCATCTGGGAGTTCAGCATGCGATAGTCGATGCACGGCCTCAAGCCCCCGTCCTTCTTGCCCACAAAGAAGAAATTCGAGGCTGCCGGGAAGGTGGATGGTTGGATGAAACCTTGCTTAAGAGCCTCCTGGATGTAATCCTCCATGGCCTTGCGCTCCTGGATGTAATCCTTTACCCTTAGGGAGTTTTGCCCCAGGCAGCAAGTTGATGGCGCAGTCCCATGGCCATTGCGGTGGAAGGCGAGTGGCTGCCTGCTTACTAAAGACATCCTGGAACGCCGCATAGTCAGATTGGACGGTTGGTGTTTCTTGAGGTTCTGGACTTTCAACAAGGGTGGAATCAACTTGAGGCTTGACGGGGCGTGGAATCGGTATGGGTAGAGTGCTGAGACAGTTTCTATGGCATGACTCACTCCAGCGAGTGATATCACAGGGTTCCCATCTGACCTCTGGAGAGTGGAGAGTGAGCCAGGGGCGTCCCAGGATGATATCCACTGTGGGTCCCTCTAGTACCAGGAAGGAAATGATTTCCTCATGCAGACATCTGATCCTCAATCTTAGCGGTGGGGCGCAAAACTGCACCCGCCCACGCCCTAGTGGCTTTCCCTGAATCGTCTCGACTCGGAGCTCCCAGGCTTGATGTAGGCGGGGTAGATGGAGACGATTTAGGAGGTCATGGGATATGAAATTACCCCGAAACTGAAACCGAGAGGTCTTGGGTTAGCAATTGCCCTGGTAGCAGGGATAATGTAGATATTTTTTGTTCTATTTGGAGGGTACTCACCGCCGGGCGTGGGGGTTTGACTGGGCAGAAGCTGATGAAATATCCTGGAGCGCCACAGTAAAGGCAGAGTTCGGCTGTTAAGCGGCGAGAGTGCTCGGTGCGAGCGAGTCGGGTAGAATCCATTTGCATGGGCTCTGGTACAGAGGGACCACTGGTGGACGCGAAGGGCTGGTGGGCGGCTTCGTGGGGCTGGCAGGCTGACAACTGTTGCGAGAGGCTCGTTGTAGGAAGCCTTCTAGTCCGATGTTGTCATCGTAGATGGCCAGTTGAGCACGAATGGGAGGATCCAGACCTTGACGGTAGGCACTGAGGAGGGCTGCCTCATTCCAGCCACTAGTCGCCGCTAGTGTGTGAAATTGTAGTGTGTACTCACTGATGGTGGAGGAGCCTTGACGCAGGTGCAGAAGTTGGTCGGACACGGAAAGTTCTCCCGTCGTGGAGCCAAACACTTCCTTGAAATGATTTTTGAAAGCATCATATGAATTAATTATGGCACTGTTAGCGTTCCATATCGTCCCATTCCAGCGCTTTGCCGTTTAGGAGGGAAATTAAGAAGGCTACCTTCGAACGTTCCGGGATCCTAGAGATGAACAGGGGCTGAGGAGAATCAAGATCGCGGAGACGTAGACCCCTGGAGGTAAGGAAACAACAGGTAAGTATGCAGGTAAGGAGTCTGGTATTGTTCGGGTAGTGAACGGTAGACCGGACACTGGAATACTGAGTGGAGTGAGAAGATATAGCGGGCTTGATTGGTGATTGCAGGTGCAGGTGATCAGAATTCGGGTGATTGGGATCTGGTGTGTGTCGGAGGAGGTGACTGTGCTGACGTGAGTGATAGTGATGATTTCCTGACACCCACAGCAGCGGCAGAAGCCACCACATTTTGGCGTCACGAACAGGATTGGAAAGGAGCAGAGGGTGGGGGACCACTTTGGGGTGGCTTGACGAACAACATTAATAGTGGCCACTAAACAATAAAGGTAGGCAGTTTTTTGAATCATTAGTGGCAAATCCTTTAAATGAAAACGTACTTACGTGAGTCAGAACTGATGGCATTTTAGTCTAACATTACTCTCCCAGGATCAGTAAACAGTCCTCCATAAAATGCGCTGTACACATCTGGATATTTGGGTTAAACTGTTCTGGAACAGTGTTGAAAATACCACTGATTTGTAGTCGAGTCCTCTTTTGGAAGACCAAACAAAGTAGTTTCGCTTTCACAACGAAAAACACAGCGGCCTAGCGTGAGGGGAAGCCCCGGCTTAGCGTGCGCTGAGGCCGGGCTAGAGTGAGCTGAGGCGGCGGGGTCGAGAATGAGCGGCAACCACATGTGACAGACCCCGGGCTGGATTCCGCTTAGTCCACGGTGAAAGTTGATGTATTCCCTCAGTGACCAGCACGGATCAGCTCCAGGCATGACGAAGTGGATATTGTTCTCTTTTGGAAGACCAAACAAA